TACAAAGCCGGTTGAACCACAAGGTTGGCAGTTCAAGCTCACCAGCTGCTCCTTGGAAACCCTGTACAGGGTCGTTATGAGGTGGTTCCGACTCCATGGCACTTCACAACAACAACAATGAATAGAAGGACTCCTGGTGTAGCACAAGATCAGCAGTTCAAACCCACATGCTGCTCCTCAGAAACCCTATACAACATCAACAGCAATGCATAGAAAGGAGTCCTGGTGTGGCTCTGTATGAGCATCACTGAACTGCTGACAGCCAGTTTAAACCTACCAACTGCTCATTGGAAATTCTGTACGGGTGGGTCACTATGAGTGAGAACCAACACAACGACACTTAACAACATCAAAGCATAGAAAAGGAGACCTGGTGGTAAATGGGTTAAACACTGGGCTGCTGAGCAAAAGTTATATACTCTGGGAGAGAGGTGAAGCAGTCTGCCTCTATAAAGATTCACAGTCTCAGAAATCCTGTGGAGCAATTCTCCTGTATCCCTATAGCGTTGCTCAGAGTCAGAATCAGCTCCAGGGCAGTGGATTGTGGTTTAAAATGTATAGAATAACAGGGAACTTTACAGAAAATATTTGTTATTAATTTTTTCAAGGCAGTATATGTATGTAAGGAGTCTTGGTGTGATGCTGAAGGATAAGCAGTATACTGCAAGGTCGGTTTAAACTGCAAGGACAATGGTTCAAGCTAATCAGCCACTCCTTGGAAACCCTATAGAGGATCCTTATGTGTCAGAACCAACTCAAAGGCACTTCACAAAAACAACAACAATATATATGTAAGAGTTAAGAACCTAAGCTCTGGAATTTGAATAGCAGTTCTACTACTATGCCCCAGTTTTCACATAAATTAAATACAGATAATAAGGTACCTACCTCATAGAGTTGTTTAAAGAGAATTAGATGAGATAATACAGGATAAGGGTTAGAAAAGTACCTCTCATGTAGTAAGTACTTAAAAAATCTTGCTGCCATTGTTGTTAATTGCCATTGAGTCTATTCTGGCTCACAGAGACCTTATGGGACAGAAAAAAACTATCTTAGGGTTTCCTGGGCTGTAATCTTTATGATTTACGGCCTCAGAAACTCTGTATGGGGTCGCTATGGGTTGGAACCCATAGAAACAACAATCTTTATGGGAGCAGATCTCCAGTTTTTTTTCTCCCGTGGAGCGCCTGGTAGGTTTGAATTACCAAGTTTTTGGGTTGCAGCTGAGCATTTAAACATTGTAGCACTAGGGTTCCTTCAATAAGCACTAGTTATTGTTAATGGTCGGAAACCCTATACAGGGTCACCATGAGTCAGAACTGACTCGATGGCACTTAGCAACAACACTGCTAATGGTACTCATAACTTACAATTTAGAGGTGTTTACATATGTTTTCTGTATTACATCACACAAAATTAAATGTAATGGGAGTTGAAACTCATACAGTGCAATATACCCCCACCCAATCAAGGTCTCTGTCTTGATATCCCTGCTTCTTCCTCAGTTTCTTGAAATACTGTATTAAAAACCACATTTACAGCTTACACACATGCAATGACTATACTGGAAAAAGTAGTTGCTCTCATATCTTAATACTCTATCGTCCACCTTTCTTCTCATCCCTACTCCACTCTGTGACACAAGCATAGTATGGAATCAGGTTACTATAGCCCATCCAGAGATGTAATTATTAAACTGGAGCCACATATGTTAACTGGCCCTGCCACTGGTCCTTCTGTTTTGACTCCTCACATTCTTCTCTCTTCTCTCTCTTCATAAAATAATCTAGAATACTTTTCCTACCAAGACCAAGACTAAGACTTGTGTTGTTGTTGTTGTTAGATACCATTGAGCTGGTACCGACCCATAGCAACCTTATGCACAACAGAACAAAACACTGCCCGATCCTGGGCCAACCTCACTATTGTTGCCACGCTTCAGTCCATCGATGCTGCCACTTGGCCAATTCATCTCGTTGGGGTCTACCTCTTTTTCTCTGACCCTCCACCTTACCAAACATGATATCCTTCTCCAGCGATTGGGCCCCTCCTGACAATATAGTCTATAGAAATTAAGCCCTGAAACAGCAGAGACTCTTAGGAATAATGCCAAATCAAGAAAATGAAGATCCGCATTCCCATCCTCACAAGTCTATATTATGGGGTAAGTCTTTGGTACTTTCTGTATCTTAATTAATTTGCCTTTCATGCTGTGATATTACTGCCTAATATACAGATTCAAAAGTTTATAAGGATAGATTAAATGGGAAAATACAGGTGGGGGAAACACTTGTAAATTTATGAGAATCATATAAATGAAATGTGATTCTAATGAATGATTACTGGCTAACTTTCCTTCTTCCCTATTTTATGCACTGATCTTGATCCTTGAAGTCTTTTACCAGAAAAAAAATTAAATTCAGAAAGAGAAAAATAATTATTAAAACCATAGTGTTCTAGACATAGGTGATGTGACAAGAAATAATAGGCAAACTATATTGAAAAAATATTGAATAAGCACAAAAAAGTTTTTTAAGAAGCAAAAATAATCAGCAGTGAATATTAATAATGCTAAAATGGATTTTCCATGTGGACCACAGGGAACAAATTAGGTCATATTTGAGTGCTGTTGTGTGCATTCCAAAAATAATATAGCAAAAATGATCAGTATTCACCTCCAGACTCCTCCCATCTGCCGTGAACTCCAAGTTATTTTCAGAGTTCTGAATAAACCTTGTCCTACTGAAGACCACTTCAATAATTCTCATAGGGTTTTCTCCAACATTATCCTGATAGTCAGGATTTTGGTTTTATTTTGTGCGTTCCTACCAAGACCAACCATCTCACTCCAGATAATAATATTTTTATTCACCTTGGGTGCTATACCCTAATAAATGGGTAAAGAAGGGGAAAAAACCTAACACTATGTGAGCACATACATGTGATATCTCTTTACTCTCAACAACACCCCCCCACACACAGCAAAACCAAAAAAACAGATACTATACAGTTGTTCTAACTCATGGTGACCCCATGTGTTACACAGTAGTACCATGCTTCATAGGTTTTTCAAGGCTAGAACCTTAGGAAGCATATTGCCAGGTCTTTTTTTCTTTTTTTCTGGATTGGTTCAAGCTACCAACTTTTTAGTTACTACTCAAGTGCTAAGAAGCTCTGATAGCGTAGTGGTTACAAATCAGGCTGCGAACCGAAAGGTCAGCAGTTCGAAACTACCAGCTGTTCCGCAGGAGAAAGATGAAGCTTTCTGCTCCCGTAAAGATTTACAGCCTCGGAAACCCTGTACAGGGTC